TCCTTTTTCCCTTTTCCATAATTTGCTTTCCTTCAATCGGAGCCTCTTAATTTCGAATCTATAATTGCTAGAGAAGAAGGTTTGGGTCTTTTTCTCCTAATCCATCCTCAGCAAAAGACCCTTGTCTCAATTAAACTGAGACAACTCCCAAAGGTAGCAACCAAGGTAAGGGTAAGAGAGCAACACTGAATACATATCCCAAATGACCCTGATTCCCTTGATGTCTTAAACTCATATCACGAAGTACAGCAACAAAGCCATCCCGATCCCTCTCCCTGCTCTGAAAAAGAACATCACAAGGATCACATATGGGAATATATACCGGGTTAGGTACCACACCCACATGAGCAGACCAAGCAACATTGTGACTGGTGACTCTGTGTCTAATACAACAAATGATTGGATCAAATTTGTTTCTAACCCGCTCTGGGCAGATCTGTTGTTATCTTAACCCTTTGAGCCTTACGTTGGGCACCCAATAAGGCTGTTGTGGTTTAGCAGTGGTACTCCCCAGTTTAGTGCTCTCCCTGAGACTTTCCAAACCACAGGCTGCTCACTGGCTCCCGTGCTTTCCCCTGCCCCTCTGCCCTGAGGCAGGCTGGAGAGGAGAATTGGAAGCACAAAAGGTAAAGATCAGGAGTTGAGATAAGAACAACTGACTGGAAACAGCAGTAAGATAAGAAAACTAACAGTAACAGCAACAATACTAATGTCAGAGGGTACAAAAAAGGGAACAATTCACACAGAAATGCCCTTGACAATAGACAAGACTGGATGGCTCCCTCTGCCATGCTAATCAACCAGAAGGAACCCCTTCTCCCCAGAAGAGACTCCCTTTTCCCCTTGGCAATCACTTGAGGTGGTATAGAATAACCTCTAGGTCCTAGCTGTGCACTGTATTGCAAAGATTAACCCTGTCCTGGCCAGAAACAGGACAGTAAATCCTTCTGGATTCAATTATCCAAGTAGCTTACATCTTTTTTTCTTCAAAATCAAAATCTGGAATAGAGACACCAAATGTTTCAAAGTGAGACTCCAGTATAAGCTTTTGTACACTAATAAAATTTTAAAAAGAAATTGGAGAGAAACCTTATGTTCAGAAAATAAATGAAGGGCAGTGCTGACAGCAAAGGTGTTTTTTTTTTCCTAAAACAGAGGTGGAGGGAAAGAGTGAGGCTGTTTCTTCCCAATTGGAAAGTACAAAAATCCTAAAATTGCTACAATGCTGTGTGTGGTCTTGTCCTCTCCCCCTGACCCCTCCTTTCTTCCTCCACTGTATCTGCCAAAACATATTGTCATGGAATCAAATGAATTGTAAGTCGTCCCAGCATTACTCCTTTACCTGAGAGGTAGAACAACTTTTTTGGTTTAATGTTGGTGCCAGAACTCATGTAGCAGCCATCACTGGGGGGCTAGTGTGGAGTATCAGCAGGCTCACATGGTAAGGGCTTATTGGAATGGGCTTGACTGATAGTGGAGGGCTGCTGAGCAAAGGAGGAATTAGCCCTTCAGCAGTGGTCAGACTTGAGCTTGTAACATTCTTTCTGTAGGCAGCGTATTGTCATTCTTTAAGGAAAAAAACAAACAAAACCCCACATTTTTCTTCGTGGTGTCTCATGCATTTAGATCACTTTATCTGTTCATCTAGGTAAGAGTTGTTTTTCTTCAGGTGGTTAAGGAGGAGCAGGGCAGTAGGTGTTCTTGTTTAAAATTCTTGTACACTACCCAGACAGTATAGGAGCCATAGGAAAGTGGTTGGCAGGTAGTGGAAATAAGAGATTGCAGACTGTGTTCATTATACATATGAAACCATTATTATTCTGCAGTAGTAGGACTTGCAGAATTTTCTCTTCATTAGTGGCTTGAAGAGAGAGTGAATGCTGAACAACAGAAGTTGGCAAGAGGTATGAATTAGGGAAGAGTAGTAAATGCTGAGGAATGGGGCCAGCCTTAGTGGAGTGGACATAGTATTGAAATGTAAGTAATGGCCAGTCTTCGCGAACGAAGAACCGGGGAAGGTCTTTACACCTTCCAGCCTGCGCATTGGATTTTTTAGGTGAGACACAGTGTGCGCGGAACTGAGCCCACCCTTTAATCCTGAGGTTCATCTGCCGGGGCCAAGCACGCTTGGGCGGTGGCAGCGAGGTCCTCAGGACGTAGATGGATTGCCTTAGGGGCCAAGCACTAGTGTAAGTATATGTTGTCATGGTGGAAGTATTGTATGAAATCAACATTATTCTTTGATCACTCTTTTTGTAGAATTACTCCATGTCTGTGTTTCTCGTTCGTCAGCTCACTTCAGCTATGCTTTTGCAGAGGTTAAAAACGAAAGGTATCAGAAACCCTGATCATTCCAGAGCACTAAGTCCAATTAATTTGCCTGTCTGTACTTTCTGAGTGTGGTTGGTGGCTCTTTAAAACTAGAATTGGTAATACTTAAGGAATTTGCAGCATTTTGAGAAGCAAGTCAATGCCCAGAGTATCAAAGGTTCCCTTTACTGTTGCGGAGGTATCACAGACTTTTTCAGTGAGGGCCCCTGTGCTGGTAGGGAGCACATCATCTGAAATGTTTTTATGGGAATACCATGAGCACCACTTACTGTGGTGGGCTGTGAGGTGCAGGTAGATGTCCTAAATTCTTTTCACTTGCATGTGATGCTGACTGTACCTCACTCACTGATAATTATTTTATCTCTTCACATGTTGGGTTGAGTTTGCTCTACTGACCATTTTGGTTGTTAGTGCATCTGCTGCACAGCAAACAGTGTTGCGATGCACAGTGTTTGCCAGTTGCTTATAATTAGTGAAGCTGTTGTTTGATATTGCTATGAACTAGTTTCCTAGATGCTTAATTTTCTTAGATATCTGGAAATAAAGGGCATATACTGGTGAATGAAGATTAGCATTTTAATTAATGATGTCTGTGTATAACTTCTTAACTTATTTTAATAGTTAAAGAAAAACTAACTGCAGATTCTGATAGTGAGATTGCCACAACCAGTCTGCGGGTATCTCTGATGTGTCCTGTAAGTACATCTGGAAATTATCAGGTACAGATTTCTATTTTTATCTTTAGTGCAGAGTTGGGCTGCTTTTAAAAGGACCTACTTTAAAAACTTCACTGGCTTTTGTTATATACTGATTCATTAATATAAAATAGTGGAGAGAAAGGTGCATTTACAAGCATCTGATTGTAGCAGCATTCACCCAACTATGGTTTAGAATTGTGAATGCCTCAGATGTAATGCACTCATAATGAAGTTGCTACTCGTATATAGTGAGGTCTTTAGAAGGAGTAATCTGATATATTGAGGCATTCAGACTAATTGGGCAGTGACAGAATAATTAAAGGATACAGTGGGAAATAAAACTTCAGATCTGCTCATCTTGGTGGTATTGCTTATACTGTCAGCTCCTTGTAACAAACAAAAAAAAATTGACCACTGTGTAACAAGGCAACACTGCCTTGGGGTTTCTCTTCCCAAGTAGAAACTGGTCTTGTGTTTGTGACTGGTCTGTTAAGTTAAACATTAAAATGGCTATTATGCCATTCTGAGTTGAACATGCAACTAAAGCTCAGAAAACCCCTTGAAATATTTGACTAAAAGAAAATTATAAAAGTGGGTACTTCAGTAAAAAAATCCCAGAAATAACGTTGATGCAAGTCCATATGAAATGTTTCAGACAACTCAGTGAAGACTTTGAGGATGGCTTTATTGTTCCTTTAAGTGCACTGTAATTGCTTTGATAATGTGGATTTGCTTGCAGCACCCTTAGCACTGGGCACCCTCTGCAGTGAGAAGAGAGTTGTTAGCCATCCAGACCTACTTCGCTGTCTTCTGTTCTGAGGCTCTTTAAATGCATCTCTTGCAGCTGGGAAAAATGAGACTGACAATCCCATGCCGAGCTGTTACTTGCACGCACCTGCAATGTTTTGATGCTTCTCTTTATCTTCAAATGAATGAAAAGAAGCCTACCTGGATCTGCCCCATCTGTGACAAAAAGGCAGCTTATGAGAGCCCAATATTAGATGGGTAAGACACTAGATTTGCAGATTACGCAATCACTTAATATTTTTCATTATATACTCAATAGCTACTTTTGTGACTTGAGGTTTAGCTGTTTCATACCATTTGCTTTGTCAAAATACTTTAGATTGAGAGGAACTATTAGACTGTAATTTCTCTTATCATGTAAAGAACTCTGTAAGTTTATCTCCTAACTGCAATCATCAAACTCTTGAGCCTCAGTATATTTCCTTTGAGGAAATCCAAGTCTGACATCTAAGAATAGGTCTCCCTTTTATGTGACCCTATCTCTGAAGCTATTAACTTTAAAATTTAACTTTTAACTCATAAAAAAGTGTCAAACTTGGTCCAAAGTATGATTATTTCTGAATCTGTATTGAAATCTATGAATTGCAGTAATGCTGGAGTGGAATATGGGTAGGTTGGGATACTCTTAGTTTTCGATGTCTGCAAAGGTTGTAATTACAGGCTTTCAGGTAAGAGGAACTAGGGAGAGAGTATGTGCAATGGGTGGAAGGTGATCATAATAAGCTTTTCCACTGTGCCTTCTTTTCACTTAGAATAAAAATTTCACTTGAAATCAAACATGAAACCACTCAGCTTTATTTTTCAGGCTCTTTATGGAAATCCTTAATGAATGTTCAGATGCAGATGAGATCAAATTCCAAGAAGATGGCTCCTGGTGCCCCATGAGGCCAAAGAAAGAAGCTGTGAAAGTCTCAAGTCCACAGTGCACCAAATTACAAAGTATGTATATCTGGGTACTGGTTGCAAACCAAGAAAAAGTGTTGGAGAATTAGTGGTAGCTTGGATAATGTGTGTGAATGTTGGTGTTTGTTTTGTGCAGGGCTTAATACTTCTAACCATCTTGTCATATAAACTAAAGAGTTGTGTCTCTAAAAGTGTGGTTTTTTTGGTATTTGTCTTTGCCCTTTATAATAGCAGTTAAGCAAACAAAAGGTTGTCATAGTTCCGATTTTAGCAAGGAATTTTTTCTTTCCCTTCCCCGCCCTGGAACCGGAGGGGAGGCTGCAGCAAGCGGGAGAGATTGCTTGGTTTCTTTTTTTTGTCTTTTCCTGTCGGAGGAGAGTTTTTTACTGCTGTTCTCTGCTCAGCTGTTGGTAGCTGCAGGCTTGGCTCACCGCGAAATCCTCACCAACTGAAAATCGTGAGTTTTTCTTCCATTGGGAGAACTTTCTGTTTCCCTCCCCCTTCCCCCCTCCTCCCCCACCACCTGGCGGCAACCAAGGATCTCACAGCGCCGCCTGGTGACGGGCACTGGACATTACAAGTTCTACTCCTCCAGTGATCCAACAGCGCCACCTGGTGACTACTATAGAACATTACAAGCTCTGTACCTTTGATAACTCAACAGCACCACCTGGTGAATAGTATAACACATTACAAGTTTTGCATCTCCAGTGACCCGACGGCGCCCCCTGCTGACTGTGGCTGGAACTGCACCAAAGGCTGCTAAAAATTGAACTATTTAATTTCCCTTTTACCGGTTTATCGGTTTTGTTCTTGAATGGGATTATTGGTGGGTATAGGGGTATTGTTTGGTTGTTTTACTTGGGTTTTTTTCCGTGTTCCTGTTTATACACACATACCTTTTAATAAAGGGCTGTTATTTTTCCCTTTTCCATAATTTGTTTTCCTTCAATTGGAGCCTCTTAATTTGGGATTTATAATTGCTTAGAAAAGGAAGTTTGGGTCTTTTCTCCTAATCCATCCTCAGCAAAAGACCTTTGCCTCATTTAAACTGGGACATTTATTGGCGCCCAACGTGGGGCCCAAGAGAGGAAAAGTGGAAAAGGAATAACTGCCCTTGTGTGACTTTATACGTGTTTGTGAACCTGTAAGCACCATGAAGTCTACGATTGCAGCTTTTCTGTGGTATATGATTATGCCGAGATCTATGTCCCACCTGTCGATGTTTTTCAACTCAGACAGTATGACCCTCATTGCAATAAGTATGTTTGAGATCTCGCACTGGTGTTATGACATAGCAAACTCAGCACCTGTTATTTTCCTTCGGGATATGTTCTCACGGATATATTACTGCTCTAACCTACACTGTCTCCTTTGAGGTATTAAGGATAATGGCACCTATCCCTATGGAGAAACACAGGGGGGTATATTTGCCCAGCCCTTCATACATTTTCCCTTTGGTTCCAATACAATGGCCTCTGAGAAATTTAAACTCTCTTTAGATGTAAGAGACATTTTCTTTTTTGTACAAGGTGTCATATCTATTGCCACGGTGTCATATCTAATATTCATGGTTAGGGCCCGGATTTACCAGGAACAGGCACAGAAGCCAACCCAAGGGGTGGAAAAACTCAAGTGGCATGGGCCATGGGAGGACTTGGGTAAATTTCTAGAAAGTGGTTCAGTTCCTCCAACATGGAAGTTCACTCTCGAACAACTCCTAAACCCTACACAGATAATAACAGCTGTGAGGGAGAGAGGTCGTGATAAACCCATAGAGAGGCAGTTGGTAGATGCATGTGGGGCTTTAGCCGTTGCCTACAAAAAGGTGATTGGTATGGTGCAGCCCTCACAGGGAAAAGGAAAAGATGAAAACGAGAGGCCTGATTCAAGGGTAACTCCAGATAAGGCCAGTTCCAAGGGACCAAACAAGTCAATGGAGGTTGCCCCTATCCAAAAGAAGAAATATAAGACCAAATTAGCCTGCCCAGTTGATGATGATGGGGAGGCAGGACCCTCACAGACAGCCAACCCGGAGCCAGAAATCATCACTGAGTCCTTATCGTATGACAACCTCCGGAAATGACGGGCAGACTTCATTCGTCACCCGAATGAGCCTATACTGACCTGGATGATCCGAGTCTGGGACTCTACGGGTGATGTCATAAACCTTGATGGTGGTGAAGCAAGGTCCTTGAGGTCTATTGCCCAGGATGTGGGCCTTGAAGAGGCATTTGTGAGAGAATCAAAGCCCCTGTCTCTCTGGGCACGGCTGCTGGATGCTGTGAGAGGGAGATTCCTTTACAGAGAGGCCTTGCAGACAGACCATTTTGCGAAGAGCTGGAATACCATGGAGGAGGGGATCCGATGCCTGAGGGAAATGGCACTGTTGGAAGTACTGTTTAGTAGAGATATGCAAGCTAGTCATGATCCTGACAAGGTTAGATGTACACCAACCATGTGGTAGACCTTCATACGTATGGGGCCATCTGCACATGTCAGTTACCTGACATCACTGGATGCTGGGGAAAAGAGTGAGCCAGTGGCGCTTATAGTAAACAAACTTCGGATGTACGATAGTATGGTCCAAGAATCACTACAAGCCCGTGTTTCCTCCGTAGAGACCTCAATAGATAACCTCACTACCATAACTACACAAATACAAGATCAACAAAAGAAAATGTTAGAAAAGATTGAGAGAAACACCTCCCAGGTGGCACCAGTGAGAACCAGGCGCCCCCCAGCTAGAGGGGGTAGACAGACCTCACGAACCGAGCTGTGGTATTTCCTATCTGGACATGGAGAAGACATGAGACAGTGGGACAGGAAACCTACCCATGTCTTGGCAGCCTGAGTACAAGAGTTAAAGGACCAGAGAAAAACAAAGTCCGTGAAAGTGAGTGCAGTGCCGGTATCCCGTGGGCAGGGATCTGACCCACTAGAAGGTACCTCCCGCCAGTATTTGCAGACGGAAACCTGTGATGAGCAGGACAGAAACCAGTACTAGAGGGGTCCTGCCTCTAGCCAGGTAGAGGCACGGGACAACCGTGTCTATTGGACGGTGTGGATCCGGTGGCCTGGCACATCAGACCCACAAGAATATAAGGCTTTGGTTGACACTGACGCTCAATGCACGTTAATGCCCTCAGGACATGTGGGACCAGAGGCCATTTCCATTTCTGGGGTGACAGGAGGGTCGCAGCAGTTGTCTGTGTTGGAAGCTGAAGTGGGTTTGACCGGGAAGGAGTGGCAGAAACACCCCATTGTGACTGGTCCAGATGCCCCATGTATCCTGGGCATTGACTACCTTAGGAATGGGTATTTCAAACACCCCAAGGGACATAGGTGGGCTTTCGGGATAGCTGCTGTAGAGACAGAAGCAGCTAAGCAGTTGAATTCGCTACCTGGCCTCTCGGACAACCCTTCTGCGGTGGGACTGTTGAAGGTTGAGGAACAGCGAGTGCCAATTGCCACTACAATAGTGCACCGTCGGCAGGACCGAATGAACCGAGACTCTGTGATTCCCATCCATAAGATGATCCGTGAGCTGGAGAGCCAAGGAGTGATCAGCAGGATCCACTCCCCCTTCAACAGCCCCATCTGGCCTGTGCGAAATCTGACGGAGAATGGAGATTGACTGTGGACTATCGTGGCCTGAATGAAGCCACCCCGCCGCTGAGTGCCGCTGTTCCAGACGTTGGAGCTCCAGTACGAGCTGGAGTCTAAGGCAGCGAGGTGGTACGCCACTATTGACATCGCAAATGCGTTCTTCTCCATTCCCTTGGCAGCAGAGTGCAGGCCGCTGTTTGCTTTCACGTGGAGGGGTGTGCAGTACACGTGGAACCGACTGTCCCAGGGGTGGAAGCACAGTCCCACCATCTGCCATGGATTGATCCAGGCTATGCTAGAGAAAGGTGAAGCTCCAGAACACCTGCAGTACATTGATGACATCATTGTATGGGGGAACACAGCAGAAGAGGTCTCTGAGAAAGGAAAGAAGATCATACAGATTCTCCTGGAGGCTGGGTTTGCCATCAAAAAGAGTAAAGTCAAGGGACCTGCCCAAGAGATCCAGTTCCTGGGAGTAAAGTGGCAAGATGGACGTCGTCAGATCCCGACTGAAGTCATCGATAAAATCACAGCAATGGCCCCCCCCAACTAGCAAGAAGGAAACCCTAGCTTTCCTGGGTGCCATAGGTTTTTGGAGAATGCATATCCCTGAGTACAACCAGATCGTAAGCCCTCTCTATCTGGTAACCTGCAAGAAGAATGATTTCCAGTGGGGTCCTGAACAATAGTAAGCATTTGAACAGATTAAACAGGAGATTGCCCATGCTGTAGCCCTTGGGCCAGTCAGGACAGGACCAGATGTGAAGAATGTGCTCTACTCTGCATCTGGGGATAAGGGCCTCTCCTGGAGCCTCTGGCAGAAGGTGCCTGGCGAGACCCGAGGCCGCCCACTTGGATTCTGGAGCCGAAGCTACAGAGGGTCAGATGACAATTACACTCCATCCTCAGCAAAAGACCTTTGCCTCATTTAAACTGGGACAAAGGTTGTTCTTGTTTTAGGTCCTTAAACTGATATGGGAGCCCCCGGTGGTCTAGGGGAAATGACACTGCACTGTCACTGCAGAGACCCGGGTTCGATTCCCGGTCGGGGCCCCTCCCTGGGCAGATGGAGCTCGTTAGCCCTGTAAGGCACTCCATCTACGTCCTGAGGACCTCGCTCCCACCGTCCAAGCCTGCTTGGCCCCCGGCAGATGAACCTCAGGATTAAAGGGTGGGCTCAGTTCTGCGCACACTGTGTCTCACCTAAAAAAAATCCAATGCGCAGGCTGGAAGGTGTAAAAACCTTCCCTGGTTCTTCGTTCATGAAGACTGGCTATTACATTAAACTGATAAGTGAAGACTAAAGCTTGTGTTTTAATATTTTCAACATGACACACCCAGAATACTCATAAAATAGTTTCTGGGCCATAGCATTCTCTGTAGTGGCCAGAAAAATAATCTAAACTAGGATTTGAGTTCCTGGTTCTGTTGCAGATAGAAACTGCTGATTTCAAGAGCATTTAGAAAACAATTATGTTCTATTATCTTCTTTAGGTTCCAGTGTTTTTAGCAAACTCTGTTCTGTGACAGTGACCAATGAGGTAAACAAGGAGAAAGTTGACGTTGTTGACTTGACAATAGAAAGCTCTTCTGATGAAGAGGAAGATCCTCCTGCCAAAAGGAAGTGCATATTTATGTCTGAAACACGAGGAAGCCCAACCAAAGTGTTTGTCAATTTTAAAGTTAGTTGTTATTCTTTGATGTCTCAGATAAACTGATCTGTAGAGAAATGGATTTGTAATCTCTCTTCAGGATCCAGCTCCACATTTCCAGAGAAGAATTTCTAGGCTTCTCCTTGCAGAAGGTTGTATTGATACGGTACCTTTGTACAGGTAAAATGCTATTAAATAGTTTTGCATATCACAAAAGACTTGTACTCACTGTTGCTGTGTTTGCAGGGGCATTTCTCCATAGAAAAGGAATTTGATTAAGCTAATGGACAGGATTTTCCTGAGAAAGTGGATTCCGCCAAGTGGAGGAGCTTTATGCATTCTTGTTAAGTTAATGTCGTCTTAAAGGCTTTTTTCTCAGTGTCTGTTATACCCTTCATCTAATCTGCTCTGGTGCTCAGAAAACAAGGCTGTGTTGCGTGTTTCATCCATCCTGTCAGTTTTGGAAGGGAGGCACTTTGCTGTTTTGAATCAAAACAAGATTTTCCTCCATCTCTCTGTGGAATGTCTTGGACACTGTTGCTGGCCATGGTTATCAGTCAGTCCTGCAACTTGGGTAACACAACCAACAACTTCCCAAGTACTCTATCAACTGCTCCATCTTTGTTGTCATGCCTGACTTCAATGGCAGGCTTAACCAAGTTCTTTACTGTAGTGCCAACTTCTGTCTGTCCCAGTCTGTGCACCTTGGCTGCAGGTACTGTTTGTGGCTTCCATAACATTCTTGCTCTTGGTCCATAAGGCACAGGAGAGCTTCAGGGAGTGAGGGACACTGGTTAGGCTCTCCAGCACTGCTCCATGAGGCGATTCCAAGCATCAGCTTTTAGTAATGGCTTATTAGTGTTGCATGAGGTACATATCTTTCAGCGTAGAGGCTTATGTCCTGTACTAAAATAATAGTAATACAAACAAACCCCTTCTGCTTTGCCAGCTCTTGAAGTAATGAGCAAGTGTAATGTGTCTCTAACCCATAGGAATGTATGGTTTTTGGTGAGCAAATAATCTTCAGCCACTTTCAGCAGTGATACTGAAAAGCTGTTGCTTTTTGTGAGGATTGTGGAGGAGTCCCTCTGCAAGAGGCCCAGTTTCTTATTTTCTAAGAAAAAATAGCTACAAATACATGTCTTAATGAAGTTTCAGAAGGTACCAAGACTTCCTTCCATGTTCCTGTGTTTAAGATGCCTATGTGCAACCATAATTGTAGAAGAACTGAGTTTTCTTGTCTCTCTGTGACCCATGTATTTTCCTTGCTGTTTGGGTATGGCTATGGCATGTTTTCATTCTTCAAATCCAAGTCAAAGACAGGCTTTTGGGGAATAACTTATCTCCTGTAAACAATGTTGCCTGAATGCTAGTTTTGGCAAAACTGTGGGGTGTCTTATAGGCAGAAGCAATGTAGGCTGAAGTATAAGGTGCTTGAGAAGGAAAGGTCTGAAATCCAAGCTTCTGAATTCAGAAGTAGCAAGGCAGCAGTCTGGGGAGGAAGACACAAGCGTATAATACTCATGGCTGGTGGGCTGGAGGGAGCAATGTGGAGCATCTGGGAACGGGATTCTGGGTGTTTCCACCTGACTCGGAGTTTATGAGATATTTTATGCATGTGGCTGGTGCCTGAATGCCTGTGGTGTTATCTTTAACAGTGCTGTGAAGTAATTGGGCAGCAGGTGGGGATGCAAAAGCGTTTTAACTGGTTGCATGCTCATAGAGAGCTGAACTTAGCTTGGACTCAGGTTGTAAGTAAATACAGGTTTGATATTTAACTCCCACCTGTGTAATCTGTGCTTCAAGGGCTGCATAATGGTCAGCCATGCCCTTGGCATGACAGGGTGGCACTGAGACAGTTATGTGGAGAAATTGAAACAAGTGCTCTCCTCCTGGCTCTGGTTACCTGCACATCCCTCCCAGAGTGCTCCACAGATAGATACCCTGTCTCTGAATAGTAGACTGTTATAAATGACTCCAGCACTGTCCTTTGTTTTAATGCCAACTGCTCTTATGTCACAGCTGCTGTTGAGAACCAAGATACGGTAATGTTATTATGAAGACTGTTATGAAAGAGGAAATTAGAGTGGAATGCTGTGTAGTGAGTAGCCATGCTATAGTTGTGTTATAACATAGTGACCCTGTGAATGAGAGTGCACAGCAGTGCATAATTTCTCTTCTGTAACTAACAGCCAGGTTGTTTTTCCCATGCTGTTTGAAACAGGGTTCTTGTGTATCAGCCATCTACTGTCAGAGTGCCCAGCATGACAACAGTTGATGCTGCTATTCCGCCTTCATTAACAGACTACCCAGTACCATCCCATCATCCACCAATATCCAGTTTTTCATCAGACTTGCCAGGTAGGTGGTGGCTATTTTTCATGTCTATTCTGACAATGTTATTAACTTGTGGGGTGGGTAAAAATTGGAGAATTGATCAACTTTTTTTTTTTTTAATGGAACAAGACTATATGCAGTATTGCACTAGTGTGATGTCTAGACAAGCCCAGTACAGGCTTTTTTTCCAGTTTCAGATTGCATTTCACAACAGTGATGTGACAAACATTGTTTCTGGGGTACAAATTGGCACTTTGAAACGGCAATGAGAAACACTTCTTGCTATATTCAGTTAGACTTGGTGTAAACATCTGATGGTTATATGTTGTAGATGCGAGAGAGAGTAGCTACTTATTTAAGTTAATAGATGTGTGATGGCACTGACTCATCCAAACACTAGATGTAGATATTCTGGTAACTGATTTTAGTGGTGCTCTGTCTAGACTGTATGAAAAAGGTTAAGGTGAGCTACAATCTGTAAGCTGACATCTATTGACTTTCTTTACATAGACATATCCTAAATGCCTATGATGTATTCTTCAACACTGCTGCTAAATATCAGACAAAAGGTGGAAATACTGATTGTTTTCTATCCTATCTCCTTGAAAAGAACACTGTATATAGGGACTCTGGGGGTTCTCTTTGCTGGCTATGACAAACCCAGAGCCTAGGAAATGGTGACTTATGGTGACAGGTGTCACACTGGCCTTCTGTACTTCCCCTCTCCCCCTTTCATTGCCTGTATCCATTTCTCCCCTGAAACATCTGTGGGTTCTTTTCTTTCAGCACCAGTTTGGCAGTGAGATGAATATCATTCCCCTTGTTTCTCTGTCCATTTTGTTTCCCTTACTGCTTCTTCCTTCCACTTCTCCCTTGTTAAGAAATTGGTTGTCTTCCCAAATTAGATAAGAGAAAAAGCTGAGAGAAATGTAGAACTGTTGTCCATCTCTTTTGACTGAAGTTCAAGAATGTGCAAGACCAAAAGAAGCTGTCAATTCTGTAAAAGCAGCTGAGCTTAAATATCCTTCAAAATTTTTCTCTAATGGAGAAAGGGGAGATATCACTTTCCAGAACAGATTTGGAGATGAGGGGAGACAGAGGAAGTTTACCATTTTTTTTCTGTTGACATAGCAAACACAAGGCCAATATTTAGCAACAAAACAAAAAAGGCAGTAATTACTCATTGGTTTCAGAATTTTAAACATCTTGTCCTAAATGCTTACACACTAATGGTGTATAAGATGGATGCCAGTTGTCACTGTTCTTAGAGGATATACCTTGAACTACTTGTAGTTTCCTCTTCTTCGTTCCTTTTATTTGTCTAGACACAAAACAGGGAGGATATTAGAAATGTTTCCTTATTGGCTGCCCATGGGCGGAGGAAGAGACCTGCTTCTTGTTTTTGGACTTGTGCATGTTGTGATTTTACTGCGTTCCAGCATCTTTAGTGTGATGACACTCTTCATGTCGCAGTTTGGCCAAGTCAGGTACAATATGCAGGGAAACTTGCATTATGAACCAAAAGCTCCAAATGGCAACCTCCATCTAAGCAACCATATTGAACCACCCTGCAATATCCAGTGAATTATCCAGAATCCATCATTATGTCATGATCATTCTTAAAAAGAGACACATGTACTAGATAACTCATTTTGCTACTGCCTGAGGTAGTCATTGAGAGTGGTGTCACAGTGGTATATTCCATTTAGAAACTGTGTAACAATTGCAAAATCTGTTCTATGACCACAAAAAGAGTTCCTTAAATTTGTTGTGTATGAATAAAAGAAAGACTCATCAATTTATTATCCTTCTTTCTAGGTCTAAATTTTCTTTCACTAATCCCAATTCTGAACTTCATTTTCAAGTCTGTTTTTTGTGACATAGTGCTAAAATAACTATCAAAGTTCTGTTTGCACTCCACTTGCTTAGACCTAACCACAGACCAGGAAAATCTATCTTCCCAACGGGAGGTAGTAACAAAGATGCATTAAGGGAGGCTTCAGTTTAGCCTTACTATGATAAATCCAGGCATGGAAACTCACTCTTTATTGGTAGTTTGCCTTTCTAAAGCAGATACTTGCACAACACTAACTTGAATACACTCAGGGTGGTGAAGAACTGGAACAGGTTGCCCAAAGAAGCTGTGGCTGCCCCATCCCTGGAAGTATTCAAGGCCAGGTTGGATGGGGCTTTGAACAATCTGGTCAAGTGGAATGTGTCCCTGCCCATGGCAGGGGGCTTGGAACGAGATGGTATTGAAGGTCCATCCCAACCCAAACCATTCTGGGATCATGTACTTCATGCTCTTAGTTTCACACTATCTGCAGGCCAGGTTAAGCTCTGTAAATATACCTCACTGATTGTTATATCTGTTGGGTTTTATATTAGTAGGAGTTTAAGTTCTAAAGAAAATATCTTCATTAATTGGAAGGGCACATGACTGAATACTTTTATAATAAATTCCTCCATGCAACACTTCAACTCCATTGGCTTTGGATTATATGGAAATTTTGTAGGTCAAAAAGAACTAGGTGGTATTTTTCCTTCCCTGGAAACTTAAACTTTACACCATTAGAGAGAACTATTTTTAGTATAACTAGATTCTTATGCAGACAGACTACAGACTTGAAATGTGGGGGAATATCAGCTCCCTAACTAAGACAAGAGGATCTGAAGCAGATCATCTGTTTCACCTGTCACTAGAATAAAACACAGATCTCCACAGTAGAGTTGACTTTCTGGTGCCTTAAAAATGAAGGATGAACTTCCTCCTTTTCTTTCCACTTACTGCATCTTGCAATACTCTGTGCTTGACCTTGAGATCTGAACTGCCAAAAGCAGGAATAACAGAAGTTTATTTGTTCAGGAGACTGCAAGCAGGTATACTGCTATGAACTGTGCATTTTGGACAGTTCAACCAGCTCAGGCTCAGTTTCAAACATATGCCCGAGATTGGAATCCACAGGGTAAGAGAAAGTAAAGTGTGTCAAATAACATGTGCGTGCATGTGGGGTGTCTTATCTTCTTCTTTGGCATCTGGCAACATTGTTCTGTTTTTAAATGCTTAGAATGTTCAGCTCTGAAATAGCTTGTCTTCCACTTCAGGAAATTTAAATCAAGAATTTTTCCTAATCAGACTTGATCAGGGCTCATTTACCACTACTAAAATGATCATAGAATCATAGAATTAACTGGATTGGAAGAGACCTGTGGGATCATCAAGTCCAACCCTTGATCCAACCCCACTGTGATTACTAGATCATGGCACTCAGTGCCACATCCAGCCTCGTCTTAAAAACCTCCAGGGACAGTGAATCCACCACCTCTCTGGGCAGGCCATTCCAATGCCTGATCACTCTCTCTGTAAAGAACTTCTTTCTAATATCCAACCTAAACCTCCCCTGGCAGAGCTTAAGGACCCTCTTGTCCTACTGCTGATTTCCTGGGAGAAGAGACCAAATCTCATCTGGCTACAACCTCCTTTCAGGTAGTTGTAGAGAGTGATGAGGTCACCCCTGAGCCTCCTCATCTCCAGACTAAACAACCCCAGCTCCCTCAGCCTCTCCTCATAGGACTTGTGCTCAAGTCCCTTCACCAGCCTCGTTGCTCTTCTCTGGACCTGCTCCAGCACCTGAATGTCTCCTGAACTGATGGGCCCAGAACCGAACACAATACTGAAGGTGTGGCCTCACCAGCACTGAGTATAGGGGAAGGATCACTTCCCTCGTCCTGCTGGCCACACTGTTCTTGATGCAGGCCAGGATGCCATTGGCCTTCTTGGCCACCTGGGCACACTGCTGGCTCATGTTCAGCTTCCTGTCGATCAGCACCCCCAGGTCCCTTTCTGCCTGGCTGCTCTCCAGCCACTCTGTGCCCAGCCTGGAGCGCTGCAGGGGGTTGTTGTGGCCAAAGTGCAGGACCCGGCACTTGGCCTTGTTGAACTTCATCCCATTGGAGTCAGTCCATCTCTCCAGTCTATCCAGATCCCTCTGCAGAGCCCTCCTGCCTTCCGGCAGGTCGACACTCCCTCCCAACTTGGTGTCATCTGCAAATTTACTGATGATGGACTCAATCCTCTCATCTAAATCATCAATAAAGATGTTAAACAGGACTGGGCCCAGCACTGACCCCTGGGGGACACCACTGGTGACTGGTCGCCAGCTGGATGCAGCCCCGTTCACCAGCACTCTCTGGGCCCGGCCCTCCAGCCAGTTCTTTACCCAGCACAGAGTGCCCCTGTCCAAGCCGTGGGCTGCCAGCTTTTCCAGGAGTATATTATGGGAGACAGTGTCAAAGGCTTTGCTGAAGTCCAGATAGACTACATCCACAGCCTTTCCTTCATCCACCAGGTGGGTCACCTGATCGTAAAAGGAGATCAGGTTGGTCAGACAGGACCTGCCCCTCTTAAACCCTTGTTGGCTGGGTCTGATCCCTTGTCCATCCTGTAGGTGTTGTGTGATTGCACTCAGGATGATCTGCTCCATAACCTTGCCAGGCAGTGAGGTCAGGCTGACAGGTTTATAGTTTCCCGGGTCCTCCTTGCAGCCCTTTTTGTAGATTGGCATGATATTCGCCAACTTCTAATCATCTGGGACCTCCCCAGAGAGCCAGGACTGTTGGTAAATGATGGAGAGCAGCTTGGCAACCTCTTCTACCAGCTCGCTCATCACCCTAGGATGGATCCCATTTGGTCCCATGGACTTGTGTGGATCCAGGTGGCTCAGTAAGTCACTGAAGCCCAAAAAGGCAGATAAACCAAACTACTTAGAGACATAGTTTTATGCCTTTAAACAGCAGGTATTTATTGTGACGTCGGGCAGCTCTCCAGCTCGGGCTGGGCAAAAAGAGCTCCGAAATGGTTGAGTAAAAGCAAGCAATTTATACAGTTTCTAATTACAATTACAACATATTCACATACATATTCATATTCATATACATATTTGTATTATTGTATCATTAGATTACAATATGTCAGGGCGGAGTTTGAGGCGTGGTCTCTATTTTGAGTAATATTATGGTGGTACATCCTGCCTTTACTTCATCATAGGGTCTCGAATTTACTCCTCATCGTCGGGTGACCTTGGAGACCTTCTGTACTTTCCATTGTTTCGTGTTCTGATCGTCGAGGCTTGAAGAAAACCTTGGTTTCAGGCCTATTTCACCTATTCAAATGTCTACCTTAGCCTATTTGACTATAATTTATTACCTCTGGGCTCTTTGTGCAATGTACCTGTGGGTTTTTAGGTCTGCAGAATTTGTACAGAACAAAATCTCTTTTGAGCAAGGTAAAGTGTGTGTGGGGAAAGAACAGTGGTTTTTTGCAGTAAGATGCTTCGATTAACCCTTCTAAAGTCTTGTTTGGCTTCATTCCCCTCTTTTCTTAGAACTTACGAATTCTTTCGTCAAGTTCTAGTGGAGGATAGTGTGAATTATTGTCCACGTTATTTGGGTTCTTTTGATTATTAAGTGTAATTTATACTACAGCCACATATTCAAAAAGGATAGTAAAAGCATAATTATTACTATAACTACCACTGGGTGTACTAGGTAGTTAAAGACTTTTGTGGCTGAAGGGGATTGTTTTGTGAAGATATCCCACCAATGGTGTTCTCCTGTTTGTTTTAGTCAGGACATTTGTTATACTGGTAGAGTCGTGTTCAACTAGTCAAATCATTCCTTGAGTTTTTCTATTTACTTCTTGGACTAACCTCTCTATGTCGGGGTGCTTAAGCATTGCTTTAAGAAGATCAATTTCCATTCCTATCTGTAATTTCGGTACATCATGATACAAATTATACTCAGCTTTGATTAATTGTTTCATCTATTGTGTTTAGTACTCCTAAGCTCATGCCAAGCCATCTAGTTGCATCTCTTCGCATGGGTCTTGAGTGTAATCTGGCAGCCAGCCATGCCTTCCAACCTTTAAGGCTTTGTTGTATGAAGGGAGTACAGTGCTTAATGATTTTGGGGTCTTAATCCAATTTTGTTGTGTATGATTTGTTGTTGTGTAGGATGTAAATGGCTAAGCCTGGCTTAGGTCCTGGGTCTTCTGAGGAATGTACCCCAACCCAAATCAATGACTCGATAATTTGTGCATCTGACCATGGCTATTCCATGGTAAGGTTTTGTGTTGAAGTTATACTTATCAAGAGTCTAAGGAATAATGTTGGAGTCTGCCAGTCCATGGTAGTGGGTTCCTTCAGGAATTCTCTTGGGGGTTCTCCGGAGTTTTCTTGACCCGGGAGTAGTGGATCCAAGCAGGTCGTTCCTTAATCTGGATCGCTGTGAAGGTGGTCAGTAGCACCTGGAATGGTCCTTCCCACTTTTCCTGCAGAGGTTTTCCTAAAAGATTCTGAACATATACCCAGTCACCGGGATGGAATGGATGCAATTTACAGTCAGGTTGTTTGGGTTGGTGGTCTATTACTACTGTGGCATTTTTATCAAAATGTTTCCCCACTGCTATTACATAATCATATATGTATTGATGGCATATTTAATCCACAGCTTCACTGTTTACACCTTGCATTGCATAAGGTCTACCATAGAGGATTTCGAATGGACTCAGTTTTTCCTTTGAACGAGGCTTCACTCTCAGCCTAATCAGAGCAATAGCAAGCCTGGTACCATTGCAAATTGGTTCCTTGGCAGATTTTGGCAATTTGTTGTTTGATGAGATGATTCACTTGCCCACTAGCCTGGGGCCTGTAAGGTGTATGCAATTGCCAATTGATTTGTAAGGCTTTACTTATTGCTTTTACAATTTTGGCACAAAAGTGTGAGCCTCTATCTGAGGAGATACTTTTAGGTACCCCAAATCTCGGTATGATTTCATTTAGCAGGATTTTGGTTACTTCTTTCTCTTTATTTGTCCTGCATGGGAATGTTTCAGGCCCCCCCAGAAAATGTTTCTGTCAAAACAAGGAGGTATCTATACCCCCCTTTTCTTGGAAGTTCAGAGAAATCAATTTGCCACACTTCTCCAGGGAATTTTTCTCTGTTAATTGCCCCTTTCTGTATCCTAGTCCCTGTGTTGGGGTTATTCTTCAAACAACATTCACATCTAGATGTGACTTGCTTAATTGCTGTGAAAAGCTTTGGTCCTGCTATCCTAACTTTCAAGTACTGATAGAGGGGGTCTAAGGCTCAGTGGACCTTTTCGTGTTCTGCTTTTACAAATTGCCAGATTAATTTTTCTGTAAGCACTAATTGTCCTGTCTCTAACTGGCCCCACCCATTATCTAGCATCTTACCTTTGTTCCTTTGTATCCACCTGTGATCTGAGTCTTGGTACTCTGGCTTAAAATTAGTATCTAATTTCTCTGGAACTAGGGCTGATATAATTACCTCATCAGTTCTTGCAGCCACTAATTTAGCTTCTGCATCAGCTTTTCGGTTGCCTATTTCTGGAACAGTGTTACCTCTTAGGTGTCCCTTGCAGTGCATTATGGCCACCTCCTTTGGGAGTTGGATAGCTTCTAACAACCGTAGGATTTCCTCAGCATGTTTTATAGCTTTTCCTTGGGTCGTCAGCAGTCCTCTCTCTTTCCAGATTGCTCCATGTGCATGTACAATGGAGAAAGCATATTTAGAATCTGTCCAAATGTTGATTCACTGTCCTTCTGCTAGTTCAAGAGCTCGGGTAAGAGCTATCAGCTCTGCTTTTTGTGCTGAGGTCCCTGCAGGCAAAGGGTTTGATTCGATTACCTGTTCTGTCGTGGTTACAGCATAATCTACCATCCTTACCCCTTGTCTCATAAAGCTGCTGTCATCTGTGAACCATTCTTCTGCATCTTCAAGCGGTTCTTCTGTAAGGTCTGGACGGCTGGAATACACAACTTCGATGGTTTCCAGGCAGTCATGCTCAACGGGCTCTGCTGACATTCTTCCTTCTAGGAATGAGGCTGGGTTGACAACGTCAGTTATCTGAATGGTTATATCATCTGATTCAGTTAGAATTGCCTGATATTTCAGGAACCTGGAAGGTGACAACCAATGGCCACCCTTCTGTTCCAGCACTGCTGACACAGTATGGGATACTAGAATAGTCATTTTCTGGCCCATAGTAAGCTTTCTGGCTTCTTCTATGTTCATTATCACAGCAGCTACTGACCTCAAACAGGTAGGCCATCCCTTGCTTACTTCATCTAACTGTTTAGAGAAGTAGGCTACTGCCCTTTTGTGGGGCCCGAGTTTTTGAGCTAGGACACCCAAGGCCATTCCCTGTTGTTCATGTGAGAATAGCCAGAATGGTTTTGTTACATCTGGCAGGCCCAGTGCTGGGGCCTTCATCAATTCCTGTTTCAGTCTCTTAAAGGCTGTTTCTGCCTCCGGTGTCCAGACTAGAACACCTTTGGTTTCTTTTAGCAGTTCATACAGGGGTTCTGAAAGTATTCCATACTGGTATATCCATAAACGACACCAGCCTGTCATACCTAGAAAGGCTCACAGATCTCTCACTGTTTCCGATCTGGGTATCTGACAGATGGCTTCTTTTCTCTCCGTTCCCAGAGATAGCTGTCCTCTGGAGATCTCGTATCCCAGGTATACCACCTTCTCTTGGACTAACTGGGCTTTCTGTTGGGACACTCGATATCCGTTAATCTCAAGAAATTCAACAATGAAATTGTCCATTCTATACATTTTTCTTCAGTTTCAGTTGCTATGAGTAAATCATCTACATATTGTAGAAGAACGCCTTCTCCCTGTGGCTGTTCCCATTGTTCCAATTCCTTAGATAATTGATTTCCAAATATTGTGGGACTGTTTTTTAAAACCTTGAGGTAAGACCCTCCAAGTCAACTGTGTTTTTCTGCCCCTGCTGACTGACTCCCATTCAAAGGTAAAAATTTTCTGGTTTTCCGGGGATTGCTTTCTATGTACTGGTTTTGCTCCAGATTTTAATTCTATAACTACTGGGGCAGCTTGCTTTGATTTTCCAGGGATGTCTGTCGCCCACACCAACGAGTAAACTTCACTCATGATTTGTTCAACACTATGAGTGCTTGGTTTTGGTTCTACACAACTGATAGTTAGGCTTAAGGCCATTATAAATTGATCCTCATTTACTTGAAATTCAAGCTTATTTTTATCAAACTTTATCACAGCTCCCAAATTTTCTAGCAAGTCTCTACCTACAAGAGGCTTTGGAGAATTAGGCAAATATAAGAATTGGTGAATTCTCATTTGTTTTCCAATTTTATATTTTAGAGGTTTTAGAAAGAAAGCTTTTTCTGATTGGCCTGTTGCTCCCACTACTTGATAAAATTCATCACTTTTTGGTACTAATTCTTGATTTAAAACTGAAAATGTAGCTCCAGTGTCGATTAAAAAGTCTAATTCAAAATACCGCCCAGGGGAGTCTGGGAATTTACTCCTTTATTTTGTTGACTCCCCACCTTATCTGGGTTTATAGGGTATTTTATTTGTTTAAATTTTAGCAAACAACATGTGTTACTGATTAAGGTCACAAGATGTCGCCACAGGCCACACAATGCAAAACTCGGTTTCTGTTACCTTTACATACAGTTCACAACACACTAGCACAAGCAAACTACATATAACAAACAGGCAATACAGTATCAAATGAGTTCAACACATAACCCATATATCAAATAAGACAATTCAGTACACAATGGGCCCAAAATCTTTATCTAAACCAGAAACCAGAAGGAAACTTAGTGAGTTAATCTCCAAACTGAAAGAGACCAATTTCCCCAGTTTCCCAAACAGATATTTGGCTAAATATTTGGCCAAACATAACTGTACAGACCAAAAGAAGCGTCCTTCTTTACGGGGTGCCCTGCATAATAACAGTGTCTTGCATTTGCAATGGGACACCTTTTTCACAGACACCGGTGTAACTTAAAAACCAGAATAAATACCTCTTAGCTATGAGATCCTTATCCGCCCCCTTGAGAAGCCAGCGAAGACAGGAGCCCCCCCTTTAATAGGTAAAAGCTTACCTTGGCGTGCCTGGGAAGGGGTCCTGAACTTTGATGGATTTCACAGCCGGGAGGATAGAAGTCCCATCTGGGTCGCCAGATTGAAGCCCAAAAAGGCAGATAAACCAAACTACTTAGAGACATAGTTTTATACCTTTAAACAGCAGGTATTTATTGTGACGTCAGGCAGCTCTCCAGCTCGGGTTGAGCAAAAGGAGCTCCGAAATGGTTGAGTAAAAGCAAGCAATTTATACAGTTTCTAATTACGATTACAACATATTCACATACATATTCATATTCATATACATATTCATATTATTGTATCATTAGATTACAATATGTCAGGGCGGAGTTTGAAGCGTGGTCTCTATTTTGAGAAATATTATGGTGGTACATCCTGCCTTTACTTCATCATAGGGTCTCGAATTTACTCCTCATCGTCGGGTGACCTTGGAGACCTTCTGTACTTTCCACTGGTTTTTGTAAATATGTTTCTTTTAGAGCAATTTGGTTTCAAAGGAAAATAGGTATGTAGCTGTTTTGGTTGTTATTATCTATAGTAATATGGCAATATAAAAGCATAAAAGCAACACTTGAGAAAATGTATAAGACAGAGAAAGAAAGGATAAAAGTAGAAAGATATATAGTCACCACCTGTTTGATCCAGCAATGAGACTTGGTAGTTGCAATTTGGATGTCTGTTGGTTGAAGTGATGTCACAGTCTGGTCAAAGTCATAGTCTTGATCCAGTGGGGAAAGTCCACAAAACTCCAAGATTTCATGAGTTATATATGCTCATGTTCAGGTGGGGATGCCTAGTACCTCCCCTGGGGTGGGGAGTTTTACACTGGATGATGTAATACTGTGCACGGGATACTTTGGGAGTCTTTGATGGTCTAAGTTGTTACAGCTGCCTATTATGTCAGTGCAGTTGAGTCCATTATGGACCATCACCAGAGATGAATACCTTCAGGCTACATGTGAATGCCTCAGTGCTTCCCTGGAGGGGAGTTATCACAGCTGAGCCATTTGTGTAAGGAAAAGAAACCTACCCTGCCTTGTAGGGTTTGCCTCTTTCCTTATCTTTTTCAACACCCAGCTTGTAGCCTGAGGTGTCAGGTGTGCACACCCTCAGCACCTGGGCAGCCACCCTGCAGATTGTTAGCAAAGCACCCTGCTGATTGCTTGAGCATTAATAGTCCAGTCTTTCACAGGAGGGGGAAAGTGTGCAAATGAGTCTATGGCCTCCTCCCACCCTTGCTTACACCCTGAGGTGATTAGACAATAGTGCCACCTTTATGTTATCTCAAGTTCCCATCAGGAGGCTTAATTCACCATCCAGTTCCCTGAAATTCAGGAGGCATATTCGGGCTGGGAGTGGGCTTCAGTGATCTTAACTATGTTTAAGCCATTAACCCTTTCAGGCTCTCACACAGGTGTATACTATAAAAATGTTGATTAGTACAGCTGTTGCTATTGGAGGGGATGAAATTATTCTAACTTCCACTGAAGGACCAAAAAGCATTTTGCTGCCTTTCGTGGTGAAAGGAGCCTGAAATAGGCAATTGGGCACAGTAGCTATGGGCAGTGAATATTCTCCAAATGCTAAGGGGTTTTGTGGGTGGGCTTTTTGTGGACATAATAGTGTTTCTTAATGCACTAATAAATGCTCAAGCTAACTAGTTAATAGGAAAAACAAAAATGGGAGGATGAGGGAGAAGGGCTCATGGCTACCATCTTTGCTTCTTGATGGTTTGTAGAACTCTGTTTTTTGTTATGCATATGTTAACAAGGTTCTGACAGTAAAATGTTTTGTGCTTGTAGGGAAGATGTATCTTCAGAGCATACACTTCTCTTCTGCAGTTAGTTTCTTCATTCTTTGTTTCAAGCAGTACTATCCTCCTATGTTTTTGGATAGTCTCAACTCAACCTTAACAAGCAGCATCCTGGCAGCATCATCACATCAACCAGCCACCAAGAGAGCAGAACGCATGTTAGTTCCTCCAGCAGGAGCAAAACAGGAGTGGTAACCAGAAGTGAAGGAAGCACTCCTGACATCATCTCACTGGACTGAAACAAGGGGCAGCACAGGACTTCCAGAGAAATTGCACAGAGCTTCTTGTATCTCTGGAACTTCATCATATTGGAAGTTATTCTGATATTTATTAAAAGGATTTGCCTTCTGGAAAATGGAGTAAATTCATCAACACTAGGAACAGAAGTAAATTTTTTTTTCAGAACTTTAATGTCCGGTGCCCGCCACCCGGGTATGCCGGAGAAACCAATCCAACCAAAAAACTGGACCTTCTTTCCCTTCCCACACACTGGGAAAGGGGAGAGGGGGAAAAGGGGCCAGACAATTTCACTTACTCTGCCCAGTCCTTTCTCTCTTTCTCTCCTGGGGGAGCTCCGTGCTCAGGGAACAGTGAAAGGGAAAAAGCAAAAAAAAAAAGAAAAACCTCCAGGGGAGAAAAAAACAACAGTTCCTATCCCATGAAAAATCCAGGCAGGGCCCCGTGCTAGCCAACAGTTGAGAGCAGAGAGCAGCAGCAAGCTCACTTTCCCATGTTGTGCTGCAGCCCACAGCCCAGCCCACCAAAATCTCCTCCTCCTCCTCCGTTGCCCAGGAGACAAGAGAAAAAGGTAAACATTAACCTTTCCTCTGCCCCATTTCCTAGGAGACTAATCTCTCAGCCATTAGCCAGGCAAGCTAGTTCTTTGTATCTCTCAAGTG